GCTTGATTTGACCCAAATGTCACTGACATTTTACCAGCAGGGGTACCGAGCTACTCATTGTCACAACAGGAACAGCCTTGGGCTTGGAATCCAGCTTGTTCTAGACCTAAAAGGAGTGTTGTATTACATGAAATATGAATGAGATGCCCTGGCAATAAACTGCTAGAGACAAAACACCTGAATCCAGTTTCCCCTCTCAAAAATATTGAAAGGTTTAGAACTGAGCTATTACAAGAACAGCCTCCAGTAAAGCTAGCTGGAGGAAAATTGCAGCAACTTTCAAAATTGGTTTTCATGCCATATTGGAAAACTAAACCCATCAAATGTTTTTGTAAAAATGAAGAGGTGGTGAAATGTCCACTGACCGATCAAAACCTAAGCGTGTTCTCGTCCCAGGGGTTAGGGCTCTGACCTAGGCTGTGGCAGAGGCAGGTGCAAGGCCCTGTCCTTCCTGATTCAGAGCAGTTTTGCATCCCAGATCACTTTGAATCAGGCGGAGCAAGAACTAGAAGTAGGTTTTCACATGGCAGGCCAGTCCTTTAACAACCACGTTATGCTGCGAGTCTCTCCCGCCACCTCCTCTCCAACAAAATACTTTGCAGGGACAGCTACATCTCTGCAAATTGTTTCAGCGTTGGGGAAAAAAACAGCACATTTCATTTAATTGAAAATGTTCTGATCATGCTAGCCACCTACATGCTGGGGGGATGTAAGTGCATCCTCTTCTCCTCCACAACAGTGCTTGTGCTTTGTAGACTGCAGTCAGTTGTTGATGAAGACATTATATGGAGATATACCTATCTCATAGAACTGGAAGGGACCTTGGAAGGTCATTGAGTCTACTCCCCTGCCTTCACAGCAGGACCAGCCCTGACAGATTTTTGCCCCAGATCCCTAAATGGCCCCCTCAAGGATTGAACTTACAACCCTGGATTTAACAGGCCAATGCTCAAACCACTGAGCTATCCCTTCCCCAATGCTAAAGCTGTGTTAACAACTGTCTTCAAAAACTGAAACATAGTTCGTGACACCCATTTTGACTGTGTCGTAAGAGTTGCACCCCCGGAGATAGTGTAGGAGGGAGGGAATACCAAGTGCAGCACCACTCACTTAGGTTTGCCCCAGCCACCTGCCTAGTTTGCCTGTACAGCCGAGTCTCATCTTACGCAGGGGTTCTGTTCCGCGGTTAGTGCGTATAGCGAAAACCGCGTATAGTCAAAATTACATTGAGTTGAATGGTGGGTGGAATTGCCCGCACCACAAGTACAGTATTAAAAAGATTGTTTCTCTCTTTTTTTTGGTTTTTGCGGACTACGCAACGCTGAAAGAACGAAT